GTGTGTGTGTGTGTGTGTGTGTGTGTGTGTGTGTGTGTGTGTGTGTGTTATAACACTTGGCACAAAACAGAACCTACTCCTGTAAAAACCACATTGGAGCATGCTTAAAGTGACCTAGCACAGGAGGAGCTGCACAGAGCACAAGTTCTCTCACTAGGTTTAGTGATGTCACTAGTCTCTGGTACAGGTGGTTTTATTCCTAAGAATATCAAGTTAAGAGACTTTTGAACAAACTAATGCAAGAGTTTAGAGGAAATACACAATCAAGAGCTTTGCAGGAAGACAGACTCTAAGTATATTGATTTAAAAGAAGGCAGAACAAGAAAAGGAGCAGCAATGGCTTCCTAGTCATTGCAGTATCCTTTCATAAAACTTAATCAGATTCCATTACTTGCCTGCTATATAAATGCCTAAAACTATTACTCCACAAAGTTTCTGTAAGATAATTATAAATTTGTTGTGCTTTGTCTCATGTAGATGCTTTGCACAAAACAATAATTCTATCTGCATGATTATCTAGCCATATAATGCCTTACTGGTTAAATGACTCCTACCCAGGCCAGGCAGGATTCCAGGGTTACAAACCAAAATGCATGATGGAGATACAAAAGGGTAAGCTGGACTTCTAAAATGTTATATCAATTTATAATGAAAGTACTAGATTGAGCCCATTCATATATCTTAGCTCTTTGGTGGTGCTGTAATATCATAGTTCTAACCTTCTCCTAACTTAGCCTCTGACTTTACCACAGCTTTTGCAAAAATATAAACAAACAGATATTTACTTTTTATCTGTGATCAACCTGATGTATTCTTCTTTTATCAAATTCCAAGTTTCTTTTTCCTAGCTAAGAAAAAGCAGAACCGAGTCCTGGGAGAGTAGCTCTGGGCCCATAGACACAGATTCTCATCCAAGGCCCACCACCTGGTCGCTGAGGTAAGGTGACCAGACAGATGACTGATCCCTCTAAGCCTCAGTTTTCATGTCTGTAGGACAGGTATAAACACAGCATCTAGTCCCACCTTCATGCCCAGAAAAACCATCAATAAATGTTGCTGTTATCGCTATTCGTACAAAATAGAATTATTCATAATTAATATTCACTAGTACTCAAATTTCTCTGATGCTAAAAAACTCTTCAGGAAGAAGTAAATATGCACGAAACACACTTTGCTAAAGTCACTTTTGAAAGTAAAAACACATAAATTATAGTGTGCATGTGAAAGCAGAGGGTGTTGGTATGCAAAGGCTCGAAGAGATCCATCTCAAATGATCATAGAGAAGTCTGGGTTGGCATTTCAGCAATTTCAATTTCCCTTACATTTGCACCACTAAAAAAGAAAATTCCAAAGAGGGCCAAGTTTTGATGTAAACCAAAAGGATTTAAGGGCTTGGGGTAGGGACAACAGATGTTAATGTACAAAAAGCCAGAGAGCCACAAAACCATCAGAGCCACAAAGGATTCCTATTCATGAGAACCATGCAAGATGCTGTATATAGGAAACTGGCTGAAGTGCACAGTCAGTAAAGCTATCCATTCAAAACCAAGTGCTGAGCACCTACTGGTAAATCAGAGAGAGCAGATCCTGAGACACAACAAAACAAGACATTCTCAGCCCTCATCATATACATACCAAAAGGGAAAGGTAATTAATGATAACTATTACAGGAATAGAAACTACAGGGGCTCAGAACATAAGTTGAGGGTCAGGAAAGCCTTCCTAAGGGATGTGCTATCTAAACCTGAATTGAAACTCAAGTGGAAGTCTGTGGTTTGGGGATTCTGCTTTCCACTTTATTTACCATCTCCCCCAACACCATCACAATCTACACGCAAAACCCTAGAGGGAATTGCAGAGTATCCTGATCCTCTGGACACAAGGGCAGATAAGCACTGCAGATCTGAGCAATGGTAGTGTTCCAGCTGCTGACACTACAGGCTAATCTAATAGCTACTGATATGGCTAATCAGACAGAAGGCAGAGAGGACCTGCCTCAGAAATCACAGCAAAATCTCAAGTGATTTGAGAATTAAAAGTGACCTATAGTATTCTACATATAATGCTAGTCCTGAAAACATTTTAAATACACACACATGCAACTCCACATATTATATATGATAACGGCATGCCCAATAATGCCTGCTCATATTGTAATAGTGATTGTTCATAAGGAAGATAAATGAAAATAGGAAATGGAGGACAGGAGATTTTAAATTGATTTTAATGTTTGCTCCTTGTAAGAGGGACAACAGAATATACAAGGTAACTATCAATGTGCTAAAACTTGGGAAGGCCAGTACATGGATACCAGAAAGAGGGAGAGAGAGAAGAAGAAGAGAGAGAGAGAGAGAGAAACAGAGAGAGAGAGAGGGAGAAGCAAGCCTGGGGCTTCATACATATTAGATAAGAACTCTACTACTGAGACATAACAGCAGCCAAGAAAATATAATCTCACCTCTGTACTCTTCTTTGTGTGTCTGAGAACACATGTGCATTTAATTTGGAGGAAAAAAAATGACTTCAAAAAAAATGGTGGAAGTGAGGAAAAGAGCTTTCTGGCTTTCCTTCTACTTAGTATTGTACTTGCTATGTGTACCTGGGGCATTTCCTCCTCTGTGGCTAATAAATACCCATAGCCATCTGTTATGGGCAAATGGGGGGGGGGGCTCCAAAATACACACCTCTGCTCAAATACAGTGGCTATTACCTTACATGCCCAAAGATGTGATTAAGAATCTTTATCCTGCATTATCCAAGTGGACCGTAAATACAAAAATACAAACACACACACACACACACACACACACACACTCTGAGAGGTGTGAATGTGGTTCCTGCCCTTCACTGAATTTGCCTTAAAATAAATTTGATAAAAAGGCCTGATGGTGAAGGCCTACAGGTGCAGAAGATCAGCAAGCAGCCAAGGGCATCTAGGATACAGAACGAGTTCAAGGACAGCTTGAGCAACTTAGCAGTATCTTATCTTAAAATAGAAAAGAAAACAGGATGTGGTATGGTACACGCCAGCATGCACAAGACCCTGTGTTGGATCCTGAGCACCACCAACCTTGGGCAGGTTAAGAAGCCTTACTGTAGAGACCATGCAGCAGTAAGAAGGCAACAGAAAGAATATACAGAAGAGCATCATAGTCTGCACAAGTAGCCAAAAAAAGGTGTTTCTCAGCACATGCTGGCATAGGGAGAGTCAATGACTGTGTTCAGACCACAAAGAGGTAGGGTCACCCCAGATCTTATGGGGTATTTTAGACCATTCTAAGAACTCTGGCCTTTAATGCAAGCAAAATAGAAAACCTCAAAAGGTTCTAGGAAGTTTAGCATGGTCACCGACATACTCGTGTAGCTTTCTGGGTTCCATGTCTCTAGGCTGCGTGCTTGTAAAGGAAAGGGTTGCTTTATCTTGTTCACTGAAACAACCACACTGAGCACTAACTATAACCATCAGGATGGTGTGCAAAAAGGAGTCACTGGCCCATCTCCCAGGTCCTTCTACCACTTTCACAAGTTTATCTCTGGCCTACCTAGGACACTGTTCCCCTGGAGATTACTTTGATGAAAACACATCCTATTTTAACAGAAGCCTAGCACTGTTCCCTTTGGACAAAGAGAAAGAATTAAACTTCAAGTTGTCCTTGCTCCATTCCTCATTCTTGGCTACAAGCTGGTACTGTTGGAGGTAGGAGGAAGTAGGCGCATTCACAGGATAAAAATCAGCCAGCAGGGTCTCATGGGAACCATGGTGGAAACAGGAACATCTATAGTAAGAACATCTATAGTATGAATCCCATGTGCAACAGCCATGGGGCAGTGAGCAGCCAAGGAGACTACAAAGGCTACCACAAGCTTCTCCTTTAGCCAGACCCATATCCTAGAACCACAACAGAAGGAGCAAGTATATCAACACAGACCAGCCAATGTGCATCTCACCCAGAAGAGAAATGCACTGTACCAGATAGTATGCCTGTTCCCCAAACAAGAGAAGCTGGACATCTTATGAAGAAGCTATGGTCCACCTAGACAGATGCTATTAAAATTTACATCCTTTTTCCAAACTCTACATACAGATCTCACACAGACAAACCCACCGGGGTATACCTCAGAGCAAGCACTTCATTAGCCAGCTTCCTTTCCCAGCAGCTGTAACTTATTGTTATAGATAAGAAGTGCTGCCCTTGTGAGAGCAGAAGATATAACAGATTTCCAACAAACTCAGTATAGTGAAGGATCAACTCCTATCTTAAAGTTCAAGTAAGTTAAACTGAGTCAAACTGAGCTCCAGGCCACAACTATGCTGGACCCAGGGTGTGAACCACTATTAACCTCATCTATCAGGCCAGGGCCTGGACAACTGTTAGATAACACCAGGGAATCAGGGAGGGAGGAGGAATATTCTGCTAACACCCAAGAAAAATGGGAGCATAGCTAGAGCACAGAGAAGCAATCGTTAGAAGAAACATAAGCTTGGGTGTGAAAAAGAAGCAGTAGCAGGACATGCACACTCCTCCAGAGAAACAGGAGACATCTGCTGAGCACACAGATTCCACAGAAAGGGTGAAGGCTGGTGGGATCATCATTCCTTGACGCCATGGCTCTGCCCACTCCAACCCCAAATCACTAGTCCAACTAAACAATAGTGATTCCCAGTGAATAATCGAGGAACGTCAAATAAAACCTGAGAAGTCTATAGGAAAAGTGCACACACACACACACACAAAGTTACAAAAATCTGGAAAGTGAAAGAAACTAGCTTATGTGGAAAACACCTAACACCCCCATTCTGGAAGGGG